ACGTTACACCTGATCTTGAAATATTATTGGGCAAAGATCACGTGATTGCGCTCTTGTTCGCCACCACTAAGCTACTTGTGATAAACACGCGTAAACTATCTTCACAAGCAAATATGCACTCCGTTCACTATGAAGAGTTACGGCAAAAACTTGACCTGTTTGAAGACATAAATAGTTATGTAGATAATGTCAAAAAGACTTTAACATTAAAAAAACAACAATGGCAAAATACTCTTGCATCAGAAAAAAGTATATTCAAAATTTTTTTTCTTAGTTATATTTCCTTAAAAGGTATTTTAAATGCGTTCTTGTGAGTAGGTAGCATAACGCGCCATATTGAAGAAATAAAAGCGTTTGAGAAAAAGCAAAAAATTTTGATTGAAAGTAAGGTTAAATTTATTCAAATTAATCATATAATAATTGGAAAATCATGAATTAAAATTCAGATGAATCCATCAAACTTAATTTTAAGCCGTAGATAAAGAAAAAAAAGAAATTCACGATTTGCAAACAGAAGTCTCAGATTTGAAAACTGAAGAGAACACGATTAATGAACGTAAAAATTTTTTAGTGATGCAAATAGACGCCATGAAAAAAGAAATCCAAAGGCAACGCGATTGTAAAGTTCTTATGAAGTTTAATATTGGAATATTTAAAGTTAAAATCTTCTAAACGGCTAAATGGATTTTCTGAATCACCAAACCATTTTTTATAATAGCCATCGTAGCAAAGCAAATATCGTTGGAAGCGCAACTCTCAAAAAATGAACCGGAATTAAAACGGTTTACAGATAGGTTGGCTTTTACGATGGAAGGAGTGCGAGGTATGATTTCGAAATTTATTTTCGTGCCTTAACGTTAGCTAGTAGCCCGTGATTTTAGTGATTATCTGATTGATTCTGATGTGATCATGACTATTTGTTATTTATGTTATTTATATGGATTACACAGATGATGCGATTCTTTTCACTTTCACTTGTATCTATGAGAATGATCCATCACAACCATGTTCATTCACTCTCGATGTCGGAGAAACAATTTACACAGGTTTGAAATACAGAATAAGTTTTAAAATCACCACGAAATTGAGCTTAATCATAATTCATGTTCAATAGTACTCGAATGTAATCCACCTCTAGATCAGATAGAGGAGTTAGTGACGCGATTAAATGAATCACGTGACTTTTATACTTTTGTGAAAAGAATGAGACAGGCTTTTCGTAAGCAAGCTCAACAGTCTTAGTAGGGTTGTGATTTAAACCATTTTTTTGAATTATGACATTACATAGTTTGGGTTTGGGAATCGGGATTTCTACTTAATTTGGGTTCATAATTAAAATCCAAATAAATATTGATATTATATCCCATTTTCGATCAATAGTGTCAATAAATACAACATATGACATTTAATATCAAAATTAACAGGAACGGATTTTATAAGTGAAAGTTTTATTTAATGATCTTAAAAAACTAAATGTCATGCCATAATAATAGGTGTCGTAAAACCTTGAGATTGCACATTATTTAACTACCTGTGTTATTTCGACATAACGTTATTTCAAGATAAAAAGCGAGTTGATATATATACAAAATCATTGGTACCAAACCAAGCAGTTTTATTATGTAAAAAATAAAAATCTTCAGAATATTTTTTTGGTTTAGGCTAGTATCTCCATAGGAAAATCATATCAGATATAGCTGGTATAGTAACGAAATAAATAAAATATTCGCTTCTAAGTAAAGTTCACCATGTTACTGATTATTTTTGCATAGTGAGAATAGATGTTCTTTCAAAGTAAGAAATGGTTTTTACGGTGGTTTTTTGCTAGCGAAACGTTACTTTCCCGAAAAGTACTTTAAAGTGTATAAATAAGTTCCCGGGAAATTGATTTACATTAGCCAATCATACGAAGTCTTCCTATGAGATTTTACCCGGTCAGAAATATCCAATCAGAGAATTATAGCTTAACACGCGCGCTAAGAAAAAGTACGTGTTTAAAAATAACTGAAGTGGATTTTACACATAGAAACGCGTTATTTTTCGAATTTTAATGATACATCAACGTTTCCTTTTTTGGTTTGTATCATTCGCAAAAAAACGAGCTTCTGATAAAAAAATTTTTTTATAAACCTCCAATCCTTCTACTTCTCAAATTTTCTTATAAACCCCAATCCTTCTACTTCTCTTAAATTTTCTTATAAACCCCAATCCTTCTACTTAAATTTTTCTTATAATTTTCTTTTTCACATTTACAAATAGTCTATGCTTTATACTTTCTTTTTCATTCGCACTTTTACACTTTTTTGTATGTATACTCACGTCCTTTAAGATCTACGAACATAGAACATACGGATATCATTTAAGATAGGTGTTTCGTTCTGTATACGTTTGTGTTCAGTTGCTATGCCTATTTTAACTTTTCGTTTTTGAAAGATTCCCAACATGGGTTTCTTTCGATAGGTGAATATTTTTATATTTTGGCCTTACTTGCCCGTGTCGAGTAAGGTTTCAGCCACATTCTCTCCTGGTGGGGTCCTTTTTAACCCTAATAAGGGTAGGTATACGTTTGGTTTCTCACCTTTTTTTTTGTAGATAAATCTTGTTAGGGTTATGTTTTTTCTATAAGCCAGGTTATAGAAATAAAAACATTTACATCAGAGGTTTTAGTGAGTAAAAATCTTACACTGTCTAGAGGGTAACCCCTCTAGTCGCCTTTTGAAGGTTTCCTCTGGCCCAAAAAACAAAATATATATATATATATATATTTGCTTGAATTACTAATTTATTGAAAATATAAACATTTAATATTAACAAAATTTTTTTTTACAAGTTAGTATAAAGAGGCATTACGCGTTATTATACAGTGCGAACAACCTAGTCCCAACCAATAAAAATTTTTAGTGGCCAAATGCTAATATGTATATATAAAGTGGCTAAATTTAAAATTTTAATATATATAAAATAAAATCAATTGTTTAAAGAGGCCAAATTTGCTTTTTTTTATATATGAGTGCTGCCAAGGGAAAAGGGAACATCCAGCATTATATTATAAAATTTTTTAAAACTTTAATCAAAGATATCTTAACAGCCACTTGACCAAATTTAATAATTTTTTTTTTATTTGAATTCTACAGGTTTGTAGAATCCATATAAAAAAAAATTTATTAAATTTGATCAAGTGGCTGTTAAGATATCTTTGATTAAATTTTTGAAAAATTTTATAGTATAATTCCGAATGTTCCCTTTTCCCTTTGCAACACTCATATCAGCTGATAAGGCATATAGAAATATATACACGTCACTCTTGATATAATGTATTGTTTGGGCAATTAGAGAGAAATTAACTAAAATCCATAATATTGTGAGTTTATTAGTAAGTTCATTATGTCAAGCAGAATTTATTATGGCGTGATCTGAATTTTGATCCACTATATCAAGATTTTACTTAGTCTCTGTTAATCGAGAGTCCGTTTTATCAAAAATGACGTGTAATTGACTTATCAAAATCAGCCAATATGTATATATTGTGAGTCATAGGAAGAATCGCATTACGGCACATTTGTAAACTAACCCAAAATTTGAAAATTTTGATCACTAATATGTAAATATAGATTTTAACTGAGATAATCAACGCTCCCAAGTAATAATGTGTCATTTTAATAAATTCCTATGTCCAATAAGATGCGTCGGGGTGTGGGAAGATGGGTTAGACACATTATCGGTACAGATCAGGGGTTCAAAAAAATTTTTCGGGGTTTACCATTGATTGATTAACATATAGTTTGGTAACTAAATCAAATGC